GAGGAAAGAAATGCGGCTGAGGCCTCTGTGAACGTGTGCCTGTGCGTGCGCATCTGCGTGTGCCTATTCATGTTGCTTGTTGTTGTGTGTCCCTGCGCCGGCGCCCATGCCTGTTTGCGCATCTGCTGCGTCTGCCTGTACAAGAGCTTGTGCCCGCGCGTGGCCCCTATGCCCGTGCCTGTGCCTGTCGTGGGTTCGTGCGTGCAGGATCTCGCGCTCGTCAATTTGCGCAAAACGAACAGCAACCTGCGCAGCCTGTGGCCGATGCGGCAACCCAGCTGATGGTTTTGACCATGCGCGTGGTTAAAATTAAATTTGCCTAGGGGGATGACCATCCTGGCTGTCTCGAATCCGGCAGCTGAAGGCTGAAGGGCTGATGGCCATCCATGTTCAACTCCATGTGATACTTTGATGCTGATTTCTGATTCTAGCCAACGTGTTCACAACAACCCTGTCCGACAGGTGTGGTTAGATATGCACCTCGTATCCCGTATGTCCAAGGGAAAGGCCAAAAACACAAAACCAAAAGAAACTGCATTTAGGGGGAACACAGAGGGGGAAAACACATTTTGGGGTATATATCCGTGTCCCTCGCTTTTCGGACGGATGGATTGATGGACGGACGGACGGACGGATGGGCGGACGGACGGACGGACGGACGGACGCAGGCCGGCAGCAACATGGCGTGACATCCTCGAATAGGTGCGTTGTCCAGCAAGCTCTTGCCGCTTCAGTCCCCAGACACAGCCCGACAGCATCCCTTTGCGCACGAATTGCCTACCCGGTCCGCCTGCTGCAGCTGGCCCAGCAGCAGTGTGGAGCTGCCCTCCACCCGCCTCAGACTGCCGAAGGAAGGCACGGGAAGGCCATCTGATCTGCATAGCGCTATACCAAAGAAGCGATTGGTGCAAAGAAGCGATTGGTTTTGGGCTGTCATGCCAACTGATCTGTTGGCATCAGGTCTCTGCATCTTGTTCCGTCGCGCTCATCGGGAGACAAAGCCACGAGGTCGCCTTTGCACGCAAACGCAAGCAAACAGCTGCCGTCAAATCAGCAAATGCAATCAAAGCAAGTACGTACAAGTGAGTGCAATTTCATAGGCGCCTAACTTTTGCTGCTTTGAAAACCAGTCCACGTGTTGGAGACAACCGACACGGCAGCCTCCCGCTCTGAGCCCCTAGGCTCTGCCCGCACTGCCTGTGCGAATGGGCGAGGAGCTCGTCTTGTCGATCCATTGATGAACAACTTGACTTCGATCTGATTTATCTCCCGGCGCTCCAAAACACTAAGAATCCACAGCAGCATGTGAAAGCAGGGGCCGAACAACCTATTGAGTCGGAGCAAAACCTGGTTTGAGGTAAGTTGACACAATCCGCAGTGTTCACTCAAGCCCCAGAGCGGCCAAGCAAACCCGCAAAACGCTCACCCCGACCTCCCCAACGCCCCGCCATTCCTCCCCAAAATGGCGTGGCAGTGTTGAAGAGACGGCTTGCTTCAGCTCCGTCCTACCCTGATGATGCTGTTCACATCGTAGGAGCCCTGAGCCCTCCTTCTGAGTAGCTGATGCCTGTTGCTCGATGTCACGAAGTGTGTCTTGCAGCGCCGCCTTGCTTTTGCAGTAGGTCATGCCCAGTCTAGATTGCCTAAACCTAAACAAATGATGTTCGTATTCTTGCCAGGACACACGGGTATGCCGGCCATGCCGGGACGAAGCACGGGTCAATGGTGGCCTTTTTGAATTTGTCAATCATTTACAACGGGCAAAAGTCCCCGTATAGGCGTGCATGAATAGTGCTAGAAAGGATAGCGGGGTATTGTATGTTCGGTTGCGCGGTGGTTCTGCCACGCAACGGCCTCAGACACCTGCAACGCGCCCTGTCCATTCAGCTGCACGTACACTCCTGGTGCACAACGCTGGCCCCACCCTCCCTCGCAACCATCCTCCCAAACCCCCAACCTCCCCAATTCTCAGCACAAACTCAACCCCCTCCGTCCCCCAACCCCCAACCTCCCACATCCTCAACACGCCCGATTTCCCCACCCTCCAGCCCCCAAAAACCGCGAAACCGAAGCCCAACCCCCGACGCCTGGAAGGCCTCGCCGGCCACGCCGGGAAGATCCGCGCGCTGCAGCGCGCGGGCGCGCGACCTGGCTGACTGCTGGGGGATGCAGGGCGACTCGCTTTTTTCCCCGAGGGTCCTCTCAAAAGCGACCCAAAATATGAGTCTCTCTGTCTGTCGAGTTGGTACCGGGGGCTGTGAAAGGAACCACAAATGAAAAACACACATGCTCTGGCTTCCCTTTTTTGGGAACTGTGGACATTGGGTGGACATCTTGTCCACCACGCATGGTGGAGTACCAAGGTACCAGGGGAGTCATCGAGGATTCAGGTGGGGGTGATCGCCACCTGGAGGACCCTCCAAACTTGGGGAAAACCACAAGGAAACCAAAACAAAATAACTGGAAACAATACAAAACGAGTTGGACCAATGTGGGCCCATGTTTTCTGCTGAAAGCAAAATGCAACCAATCTTGAAGGGTCCTGGGTTTGATACATACCAAAGTGTCAGGGCTTCGAAAGCACCCAAAGGCGGAAGGCATACCTAAGAAATGGTTGGTGTGGAGAGGTTGCAAGCAAGCCTTTGGATTTGCATCTCAACCCTCCGAGTCACCCAAAGGCAACTGTTCAATCAAGAGCTTGCGTCCTCCGTGTTGCCGCTGCCGGGCAGTCAGCTGGATCGCCCTGTTTGGCTTCATGAACTTTTGACCCAGCCACTTAACGCAACGAAGCGCAGGGAAGGGATGAGGTTACAGCCAACTCCCAAGGCGATTTGGCGTAGGCCAGCATTTCATGGCTAGACCCCGTCAGTCTGATTGAAGGTTGATGTCTACACTGCACATGCGCAAACCTGGCTCGCTCCCAGGCCTAAGAGTTTGGAGAGGTGATGCGTTGCCGGCAGACATTGCGTCTCAACTTCGGCAGCAGGATGACTGAGACTTGTTGTTTGGAGCCACTTCGGTTCAACAGAGAAGGGGCACACTCCCGGTAGTTTTCCTGGCTCACTCATTGGGATAAGTTCCAATTGCTCATATTAATTTCAACCCCAGCTGCCCTGCCTCATGCGCGAGTGGGCGCTGCGAAGTCTCAGAGCGGCGCGTTCTAGGGCAAGCGGTTGGATCAAGTCGCAGACAAGTCCCCCATAGATTTCAGCTGCTCCGCCAAGCAAGTCGCTAGTGCAAAGGCCTCGCAAAACAAACTCTGGCGCAGCAAACCGTGGTCTCAAACACGGCTTTGAACATGCGGAAACCTCATTTGGAACTTGAGCCGCGTGTGAGCAGCAACTGGTTTTGTTCCTCCAGCACTGATTGAAGACAAGCCTGGAACTCCGAAATCGGATCCTCCTCAAGGATATTCCTCTACAAAATGGATACTATGCATATGCTAGGTTTGTTTCAGATTCCTCCTGCAAGTGGGAAGACTTCGGTCAGCTGCAACATGCTCTAAGGTTCGCCACCCCGGCCAGCTTGATACTCCTTCATTTCTTCCTTCCTTCACTTGAAAGGTCAACCAAGCCCATCTGTGAGCCGGGCAAAGCGCGGGAGAAGCGCCCCGCGTCCACACCCTGGGCACAGCTTAAAGAGACTTCACTTCCAGTCCACTGGATTCAACAGCGGTCCCACTGTTTCCGGTGTTGGTAGTTGTTTAAGCATCACCTGTTTGGCCCAATGCAAGGTGTGTTACCCTTGGTAGGAAGTTTAATGGGGAATGTAGGGAGCCCTGTTCTTAGGCGCGACCCCAGAAGCATGCCGACCTCTGTTCCAAATGAGGTGAAAGCCATGTCTCCAAAACTCGGGAGGAAAACAAACTCGATCAGAGTCAGGCTTAGCGCGTCTTTGTGCTGCGGCTCCTTTGGCTTCGAGCGATCCAATTCCCCTTCTTGCTTTTGCAGGAGGGACGCACACCAACAGCTTGCCGGACACAGGGCCATACACCACCTGACCTGTGGTTGCCACAATCCAGGGTGGCATCCCTCTTCTTGAGTACATTCTCGACATCTTCGAGCCCGAGCCTTTCCAACCGAAAAAATGCTAAAACACATAGCAGCACCCAAGCGAATTGTTGTTGCCTTGACCCAAGTGCAAGTTCCCGTCTTCAGTTTCTTGAGGGATGTCTTTTGCACAGTGATCCTCTCTGGGCTGCCGGGCTCGTTGCCTCCAGCCGCCCACGCCGTCAGCCAGCCCAAAGCCGGACAGGGCCAGGCATGCCTGGGAGAAACAAGTCGCCGAGAGGACACGCTTCATCTACAAAGGCCTCCTGCACAGTTGTCCCAGATCATTCAGAGCTGCGGCAATGCGTGTGTGGTTGGAGTCACCGTAGACAGCGCGGTATGTCTGCAAGGACTCGTGCAGCAGCTTTTTCGGCCCTAGGCGTGAACGCAATTTCTGGGTGGTTGGAGTGGTCGTAGACGACGCAAGGACTGCAAACGTCGTTGCAGCAAGTCTGTACAAGAAAACAGGTGACCTAACCGAGGCTAAAGAGCTCCTGCAGCAGGAGATCGTTGGCTTCGGGTAGGTCACCTGCTGCTCTCTACACAGCCGGCCCAGGCTGTGCAGTTTATCTGGAGTTGCTGCAAAGTCACATTCAAAGCATGTGAGATGCTGCCGCCATCAAATCACGGTGGCAGCCAGCCGGGGTGCGGCCGTCCCAGGGACGGTCCGTCAAGCAGCCGAGCTCGGAAGCCACGTCTCGCGGGAAGACCTGCAAATTGGGGTCCTCATCTTCCGAGCTACGGTCCTCGTCTTCCGATTCCTCAAGCGCCTGCAAGGAGACAGGGCCGTCCTCACACAAGATAGTTGGAGCTATTCAAGCGCCGGACAATGGCCAAGATGTCCAGCGCTCGCCTGGGCAGCTGGGCCACTCCCAGTGCCGACCAGCACCCTCATTGCCAGACAACCCGCCGCCTGCAAGACGGGCTCAGGCTCCACACAGCCAACCTCATGGCCCGGACCGGTGGTGCCCCGAGCAGGGTGGAGGAGCTTCTTCGCCTTGCTAGCCGCTGCCAGCACAATGTCGATGGCTGAGGCTGGCCTAAGAACCTGTTGAAAAGGAAACTCGCACCTGCCAATGGGCGTGTCATCCAGAGAAGGGGTGGTCAAAAGCAAATGAAGGTCCTCAGATGAAGATCGTTCATGGAAAGTTCCACTTAAAGTCCCTTCCAGCGTGTTCCTTCGGGCAGTGTCCCAAATGACGAGGTGATGCCTTCCCTTGTGGCTTTCCCCAATGACATCCAAAGAAATCCGCTTCCATAACTTCCGGTTCGTCCGGTGGGATTTATTCGTCGATTTATAACCTTTCGGCTATCGCCAGGGCCCTGGCAAAGAAGGCATCCTCGCCGCTCTGGCCGGTCGCCTCAAGAAAAACCGGGGAGACATTTGGGTGAACGGCCAGCCGCCGTGTGTGCGCTCAGGAAAAGGGCGGCGTCGGAAAGGGACGTCCCTTTTTTGGCTTGTCAAGCCAAGGTGTTCGTCGGACACGAACCACCCAGGCTTCAAAAAGCGCAGGGCTCAAGCCAAGGCTACCGCCCACAGCTTACACGTTAAGCGGAAATATCGGCAGGGTGAGGGGCACTGGCAGACTCATGACCGATCCCTAAACTTCGAGAGGGCAACTTTCGATAGGACACCTTCAATGCGGTTGGGTTCTCATTGGCTGCCCGCTGCATCTGCGTGCCGCAGCGCACCGGGGCCCCGCGCCTTGGGGATGCAACCGGCACCCAAGGCCAACCTGAGCCTTGCCAGGAGAGGTCTTTTGCCCAGTGCAAAGCAGTTCGTGCCCTCGGAGATTCAGCTCTAGCTGTGCCCCTTTTGAGGCTTGTACCCTTGACCCGTTTTTGAGATTGAAAAGGAACCAAAGGCAGATTGACAGCCAACTGTTTTCAGACCCACAACTCCACTTATCAGGGCAAACCTTCACAGAGGGTCGAATTTGACCAGCCGAAGCGGAACTGGCTTCTCATTCACCCAGGCCTAGCCCGAAGTTCCCGGGATCCCAGGACTGAGTTACCGAGCATCTTTGATTAGATCTAAGCAACATGGCATTTCACATTCCCTTTTTGGACAGGGCTCCTGTGCACATTGGGAATCTTTCCTTGCCCGATTGCCCAAGGCCCTCAAGTGCCTGTCTGCGCTGGTGGCGAAGCGCCTGCCACGCCGCTCTGGTTCGCTGGCGCGCTAGTGCAGCCTGCCTCCTAGATGTTGTTTGTTCGCAATGGAGGTGTCTGTGTCTTTTCTCTTCTCTTCTCTGACGAAATCTGATTGAATGGCGCAGTTTTGCCTGGGCAAATGCACATTGTTGTGGGGAATGGGTTGGAGCCCTGAAGGTGGAGGACAACATGAGGACAACTGGCAACCTTGTGGTGGATGACCACAGTCAGCCATGCACATGGAAGTTATTCCAATTGCGCTCAACTTCTCGTCTCTTGTGGACGGTCGGGTCAGTGTCAGCTGAATTGGCCCAAGCCCTGGGCCCTGACCCGGCATCCAGGAAAATCCCAAAAACGAAAAGGCGTCCGTGCTTAGGTTTTGTGGTGCATGGTTTTGTCAGAGTATAAACTGGGAGATGTCAAAACTTAGGATGCCTCAAACTTGCTGGTCCATCCCCCCCAGACACACTCACCGGTGCCAGATTCTTTTGAATGAGTTAGAGTGGCCGTTACAAGCGCAAGGAAATCACAAAGGATGAAGCCTCTGTTCCATCACCAGACAAGGCAACTACACCTGTGCTGAGCACTTAAAGTAATGATGAGGTACTGGACCGCAATGAATCTGCACGCTATTGCATCAAGCTTCTCACATCCAGCATGGCTTCTGCCTCAACATGCAAAGTGTGGCTGGCATTTCAGCAAAACAGGAGGCTGTCCCATCTCGAACCAGCCCCGATTGAACTTAGCCACACAGCTCAACAAAAGCACACACACACACATCGCAGGCACCATTTCGGAGCTGCAAAGCGGGCCTGGCCAAAGACCGCGAGCCTTGGCCGAAAGGTCCAGACCCGCTGAAGGGTTGTGCTTGTGTGGAAGTGTCAAGTCATGGCGATTGCTAAATGAACCCGTCCGCTTGATTGGAAGAACCAACAGGTTCACTTCCAAAGCAGCTCCGAGCCTGGCGATCAGGACCGGAGTGGATTGCACGTCATCCACGCCGAGCAGTTGAAGGCTCGCCGCAGACGTGCGACCAGTGTATCGCAGGTCTGCCGTGTTCTGTCGTCGCTTGCTTGCTTGCCCTGACTCAACAAACATTCCTTAGTCCTAGAACCCATGAAAAGATCAGGCTCTGCAAGCGTCCGACAGGCAAAGTGAGCCAAACATGATTTGCGTGGGCACCTCAGGCCCAGCCAGCCTCAAGCCTAGCAAAGAACCCCCCGCCGGGCTCCCGAGCCCAAGGCCATGGCGAAAATTCGAAAATCGGCAGATTGGGCTCTGTCAGTCTCCTGGACCCACACATTCGGGGCTTGCCGAATGGTCTTCGCGAGTTCCGCGCTAGTTCCTCCTGGGTAAGCAGGTCTTTCACCAGCTGATTGTCCAAAGGGGCGGCATATGTGCTCCCTCTTACTAGGTTTTCAACTCGAATGCATGCTTGGCTCATGTCCACTCGTCCTTTCCGTGGATTCGCTAAATATTGCAAGCGAACCAAAAAGGGAAAGGTGTGTGTGTGTGTGTGCATTTGTGTGTGTGTGCTCTACTTGCAACATGTTGGGGTTCCAACGCTTCTGCATTGTGTTTGTATAGCCTGTTATGGCTTGTATCCCTGCTGCGATCAAACCCTGAAACAACACACCAGCCTAATCTTGAGCATATGCAGGCAAGGCTGAGATATGACCGTCCATTCCCATGCCAGGTGTCTGTTAATTTGGCCTTCCGTCTTTCCCTGACACGTCAAGCCAAACCTGCGCCTTGCCAAGCATCACTTGGCCAAGCCGCCCTGCACGCGCTTGCTAGGGATGGCTGTTTTACTCTTGTCGCATCGCAAGCGCACCTTTGCTGCAGGAAGATCCGTAAGCATCAGCTTTCGATCTCTGCCGCTCCTCATGGCAAGATTTGCTGCGGATCAAACTGCCTCGAATGCCTGGAGGTCGTGGGATTTGATTTGCTTCTGCCATCCAAAAGCGCGGGTCCGGAACCCGATGTGAACAACCCCAAAGCCAAACACCATGTGTCCCATGAAGTATTCAGTGAACACCCCATCGAGAGTTGATGCTCTCGAGGCCTCGAGCTCAGTCGGATCCCTGCCATCGGGTCTTGTGCCGACCGCCCTCACTTCCAGACCTCGGAACGGGGGTCCCTATTAGCATCTTGAAAAGACAACTGAAGACCAAAAAAATCAAGGCCCGTTTGCTTCATTTCTTTGTTGTCGTTTTGTTCTTTCTTTCCTTGTTTTGGAAGGGGGGCATGTCCATGTCTCTCCGCAGCCATCGAGAAAAGCCTCCCATCCGAACAGGGTGGACTCTGAGGACTTGCTCTGCAAAGTGTTAAGCAAAAGTCTCGGAATTGCTCCAGGTCACCCTCGCACAAGCGCAGAGCGTTGGATTCTCCATTGGAGTCTTGGGAAAATGCATCAAATCTCAACCCATCACAAGGAGGAGCAAGAGCAAGGCTTTCCCACTGTTCAGTCGAGAGCCTGGCTCCACCTTTACACATTTGGAAGTCACCTTCAGCATTTGGTGACTGATTCCTTGTTTCCAAGCTAAGGCACCAAACTTGGACCCAGAAAGTCGCCGCGTGACATTGCCCCAATCACAGGAAGTTCTGAGGCAATTTCAAGACATCAAGAGACGATGTGTTTGCCAGACATAAACCCCAGTGAACATATCGTCAAGGGTTCCACGTCTAGACATAAGCAACGTAATGTATAATGTATGCATACATGTAAATTTGACGTATTACATAGTTCTTGCCACTGGTTCATTTGGGAACTCCTCCCCCTCTGCGGGAAAATAGGGAAGATGGGGGGTGTCCCAAGTCTTCCGTCTTCCCCTGCTGTTTGGAGCTTTGGCCCCGGGCGCTGCGGATTTCCGCAGAGCCATCGGCATTGATGACGCACTGAGAGTGCATCTTCACCTCGAGTTGGCATGCAAACTTTCACTCGTTCGCATACAAACCATCAATCCCTCGAAAGAGCTCACCCAGAGCCAAAGCTGGGCATTTGCAGGGAGAGGAATTCGAATCGGCGAAGCACCTCCAGAATTGCCCGAACCCATTCACTACATAAATGACAGTGGCTCATTGGATCGAAGTTCATAAATCCACGGCAGGAGAAGTCTCACCTAAGCTTGAAAGTCTTGAAAACGCGCCTTAAACATCGCATGCATTATGGAGCAAAGAAAGAAGTAAAGATAGTCCGCTCTTTGGCGACCCTCCAACATAAACAAGCAACACAAATCTTTGCCAACAGCGGGTGGCAGACTCCAAACCATGGCAATTGTGCAAGAAATGAAACTCCCCTCTTGTGTGTTTCCAAATGGTGCACCCAACAAATGGTGGTTGGTTCCTCTTGGCTTGCCTTTAAAAGCCATCAAACAATGCCATCCTCATGTTTAGACACCATGTCTGCTTGCTGCCTTCTCAGGCTCTGGCTCCCTTCCAGCCCGGCTGCATCCACTCCCACCTGAACATGGACCAGACATGTGGAGGGTCGGTCGATCACACACCGTCGAGGGCGTGAACACCTCCAAATGCATCAGGCACCAAAGGCTCCAAAGAAGAAGCGAAGAAAGCGAACAATGAAGAAAAAGCAGGCAAAGCAGGCCAAGCAAAAAAAGCCAACAAAGCCAACGAAGCAAGCAGAGCAAAGCAAGCACCATAAAAACAACTCACGCAGCACACGAAAAACAAAGAGCAAAAAACTGCATGATGGCAAAACACACATAAAGCAAAGACCAAACCAAAAAACAGAACAGCGAACAAGTAATAGACACCAAAAGCAACAGAGAGAAACAAAA